TTTTCTTTCTTTTTTTTTTTTTTTTTTTGAGACAGGGTTTCACTACATAACCCTGGCTGTTCTGGAACTAGCTGGTCTCAAATTCACAGAGATCTGCCTGCCTCTGCCTTCTGAGTGCTGGATTAAAGACTTGGGCCACTATCGCAGCCTGGGTTCTTTTATTATTGTTATTGTTAATTTTTTCATAGTACTGTGAATTGAACCCAGGGCCTCATGCATGACAGACAAATGCTTTGCCATTACACTACATTCTCAGCTGTGGATAAGCTAATCAAGTAGAAACTACTTTAATTCTTCACAATATGCTAAGTTTTTCTTTCAGAACATTCTCAATTGTTACTTGATCATGTGACCACCCAGTCACTCACTCCAGACACATGTTCAGCCTGCATCCTTCTAAATTCTCTAAGTCCACCCCTCAAAGGGACAGTTTCTAAGCCAAACACCACTAAGGAACACCACCACCCTCCCTAGAAACTTTTCATTAAATATTTGGAAATTCGGAAATTTATTTTCTAATTTGCAAACTCAAGTCTTTCTGTGGCAGCTTCTATCACCTGAGTTCTTTGTGAAGTATTAGACTTTAATTTTAAAGCAAAACCTAAAATAATACAAAGCAAAAATTGCTATAGTTGAGAAGAAAGTCGTCTGTCTAAATAGGACCAACCCTCTCCGCTTCAATGACATTTATGTATGATACCATGCATATTGTGCAATATATGGTAATGTGTCATATAAAAGGGTAGTACGCATGCTGTTCCATATTTTAATATGCTAGTCATATTAAAAAGCAGAAGACTGACTCATACTATTTCATAGTGTGCATGTGATGCTATCACACTTCTACGGAACTCTCTGTGGTTGATATTTTCCTGTTTGCTTTAGTCCTTTTAACAGGGGAAGTCATATTAAACCCATTCTTCTTCTCTGAGGCTGAGACTTAGGGAAGTCAAGGAACTTGTCTAGAGCTCTAATACTTAAAAATGACCAAGCAAGGATTTGAACCCAAGTATTCCAGATCAGAGTCTAGGATTCATCTCACCATAGCATTGTAATACCAACAACCTAAAGTTTCAGATGGATTCATGACTCTTGAATTAGCTCACACTGGAAGAAACGACAGTGGATCCATATTGCACCCCTTCTCCTGCAGCAGCAAGATGAGATTTCCTCCAGCGGGAAAATGGTAACCCGATTACATATCCTTCTTACTCTAAAGTGCCAGCCTTTGATCTTGAGTTTTTACCTCCCAAGATTGGGGCTGAGTACATGGACGTGCTTGGGGTCTAATGATAGTATGGTTAGACTGATGTTGCCAGCCCTACCTGCTTCTTACCTTAACAACTTCTTTAACAACAAGGACCAGAATCTGATATGGGAACTTTTAACACTTTCTTCTCCTGTTAGTCTGACTCCCATGTCTACATTCTCAGCATTAGGACCAGACTCCTCAAAGAATTCTAGGCCAGGTAGAAAAATCAGGAGTTCAAGGCCATCCTCAGCTACAAAGGAAACTCAAAGCCAGCTTGGGCTACAGAAGAATCTGTCTTATTTATTTATTTATTTATTTATTTATTTGTTTATTAAGCATACAATGTACTGCTGGGAAGGAAGGCACCAGGTCTCATTACAGATGGTTGTGAGCCACCATGTGGTTGCTGGGAATTGAACTCGGGACCTCTGGGAAGAATAGCCAGTGCTCTTACCCTCTGAGCCATCTCTCCAGCCCCAGAATCCATCTTAAAAAAACAAAACAACAACAAAAGATAATTTCAGATCTAAACATGCCGAAGTTCTGTATACGTCTAAGCATATCATACATTGTAGGAAATCAACTTTATTTCATTTTAGGGCTTGGATCCCCTCAGGCTCTCAGGTGAATTTCAGTAGACCAGTTCAAAAGTTCTGTACTCCACGGGTTTCTCCAGCCCTTGAAGTTATGAAGAATTGGGAGCCAGGGGGACTATTGAGCCTGCTTAGGTTTCCCATCTCTTCTGCCAGAATTTTATGAGGCAGCAGGAATTGTGGGACGATGAGGGCTTTGTCTGCTCTTCGGTTTCTTTGCTTGAGACAGGCCCTCAGGTAACCTTGGCTGGTCAGGAACTTGCTTTGTAGACCAGGCTGTCCTTGAACTCACAGAGATCCATCTTCCTCTGTCTGCAAATGCTAGGAGTAAAGGCCTATGCCCCATGCTTGGCAATTTTGGAAAGTCGTAATATATTTGCTCTCAGAAAGGAGAGTGGCAAGGGAGGCTGAACTAGACAGCATAACACATCTAGAGAACTGAGGCCCCCACACCAAACAATCACTGCCACTGATTGTGACTCAAGCACCTTCCGCCCGGGCTTTTTTTTTTTTTTTCTTTCTGTCATTAATAACTGACTATAGGTGACATTGAGTTCAATGATTAGAGGGAAACTGTATATTCCCCTATTCCCAGCCAATACATGGAGTTTATTAAATACCTTTGGAGGCTGTATTTGGAGGCTGGGCAGTGGTGGCGCACGCCTTTAATCCCAGCACTCGGGAGGCAGAGGCAGGCGGATCTCTGTGAGTTTGAGGCCAGCCTGGTCTACAAGGGCTGGTTCCAGGACAGGCTCCAAAGCACAGAGAAACCCTGTCTTAAAAAACCACTAATAATAATAATAATAATAATAATAGTACCTTTGGAGTTTACTTCTCCCTTTAGGTCTCAAATTGGTTCCTAAACTAGGTCAAGGGATTGGGAGAGAAAGCTCTCCCTGGGAAGAGGGAAAGGTAAGGAGCAAAGCAGGACAGTCATGTCACACATGGGCCTAACTCAGGGTAAGGTTTGGGAATAATACCTAGTCCTTAGACTCAAGAGTCCCATCTTCCCTTTTAAACATTTTAAAACAAGAAGAGAAGTTGGAAGGAAACTCCAGTGCTTCCCACTCTCCACCCCCAAGTGTGCACGAAGTAGGAAGAAACTTGCTCCCTCCCACCTCAATAATCCTTTTTCAAGTCTCAGTCCTCTGCAGGCTTCCCTGTCCTTCTCTGTTCTCCTTCCCCCTGTCTGCACACATCCCTTGGCAAATGAACATTCTGTCCTTTCCCCCTACCCAACCACAGCATCTTTCTTAAAGAAGTCACCAGCGGATCCCTACCCTGCCCAACCTGTCTGGGTCTAAAACAGTGCACGTGAAACGGGAATGTTTTGAGCTCTTACTCTTAAGGGCTAAGCAAGACTCACAGCTGCCAGGGAAAAGACAGACTAGAAAGAGGAGGGGTGACTGGAGAGCCAGACCAGGGCCACCAGCGGGGATGGGAGCCAGCAAGGTGGAGGAACACAGAGATGGAGACACGTTGGGGCCCTTGAAGAGAGGAATGCACGCCTGGCTTTTTTAGGCTAAGGAAACCTGAGAGGTTTCAAGGATTGCCAGGGACTTGTCCCACCTGCTTTGGCTTTCTCCCTTGAGCACCAGTGTTTACTGAGATCCCTCCCTGAACTCTTGCCCTCCTGGACTTGCCCTAGCTCAAGCCCCAGGCCTGTGGCCCGGCAGATACCCTGACAGGTTACAAATGAGAGTGGGTGTTGGATTCTTGTCCTCAGAGTCCGGAGGAGGAGAATCAATGGGCTCCACCCAAGAGCTTCTCTTCTAATCCCAACCTGTGTCTGAGAGAGTGAGCAAGGCACTTCCTGTTTTCCCTCCCCCACAATTTAACTGGGGGAGGGGTGAAGTTCCACTTCTAAGCCTCTGCACTAACTCTCCCTTTCTCCAAGCAAACTAAACTCCATCTAGTCTAGAACATTTGTGGAAAATTTGAGTAATCGTTAATACTTAACTAGTATTGGATTTATGAATTTGAGGCTTGAAATTGAAAAAAAATATTTAAGGGAGACTAAAGATAATGGAGGTGTGCGTGTGTGAGAGGGGAAACCAGAGGGATGCAGGGTCTTGATTAGTTTTAAATACTTCTGAAAAGAGAATAAAAATTCCCTTCCTTCCCATCCCCCTGTAAACATCACCTGGCTCTGCTCAGTGCTGCTCTCTGGAGAGATATAGGGAGTTATTTAAGTCTGAGTGAGTGAGCCAGCTACAGCCATGGATGGCTAGAGAGAGGATAAATACATCTAGAGAGATGAGCTGATGGATAGGTAGGGAACGAATATAAATATGGAGAGAGATGGACGAACAGGAAGATGAATTGAGACAGAGAGAATGTAAAGAGAGGCTGAGGGAGAGAAATGGATGTGTGAATGAGGAGAGATCGTCTATGCAGAGAGTTGGCGGGAGTAATGGGGGCGTTTCTCATCTTCCTCTCCACGTTTCTGTAGTCCTCGCTGGTCCCCTTGAAATGCCATTTTCCCACCCCTTTATTCCTAATGAATTCTCCTGGATTTTAGAGCCTGGCTCACACCCTGAGGTGTTTTTACAGCTTCCCTCCCTTCCTAGTCTTCCTTTTGTCCCAAGATAACATACCTCACCAGGCTGCCCTAGCCAGGCATCCCAAGACAAACTGGGAGAAAGACTCATGAGATGGGGGTTCTGGCAAAGCATGGAGCCTGGCTCGCCCATCTCTAGCTCTCCTGCCTTGGGTGGGGGTAGGCTTTTTTGAGGGGAGAAGAGAGTGAGGAGCAGCTGGGTTGAATTTGTCCAAATCTAATAATCCAGGAACCTATTGAAGGCCTTGGGGGTTGGGAGGGGGGTAAAGTCTTGAATATTCTTCCAACTTCTCCCCCCTTCTCCCTCTGGTCCCTTCTTTCCAAAAAGTCTTTGAAGAAAGATGTTTTTGACGCTTCCATGTCGTCCTCAGATGGATGGGCTGAGAGTGATTGAAGTGTCTTTGTCATGCTAATGCTTGGGGGGTGATGGATGGGCGCTGGGGCTGCCAAACTCTGGCCCGCTTAGCCCATTGGTCTGGGAGAGATCACATGTGCCCCCCCACCCCCACTCCCTATCCCCTTCCTAGGGGAATGCTGGCCGGGGCAAGCTGGCCCAGGCCATGGACTCAAGCTTCAGGACTGTGACATACTGCCGAAAGGTTGTAGGGCAAGAGGGTGTCTCCCCAAAACTGCCGGACCCTCCTGCCTCTACATGGACTATAATAGGATGAATTCCTTTTTAGAGTACCCACTTTGTAATAGGGGACCCAGCGCCTACAGCGCCCCAACCTCCTTTGCCCCCAGCTCAGCTCCGGCCATTGACAGCTACGCGGGGGAGAGTCGCTATGGTGGAGGGCTGCCCAGCCCAGCGCTCCAACAAAACTCGGGGTATCCTATCCAGCAGCCGCCTTCCTCCCTGGGGGTGTCCTTTCCCAGCTCTGCTCCCTCGGGGTACGCCCCAGCCGCCTGCAACCCCAGCTATGGGCCTTCTCAGTATTATTCTATGGGTCAGTCGGAAGGAGATGGAGGCTATTTTCATCCATCGAGCTACGGAACCCAGCTCGGGGGTTTGCCCGACAGCTACGGAGCGGGTGGAGTCGGCCCCGGGCCATATCCTCCGCCGCAGCCCCCTTACGGAACTGAACAGACGGCAGACTTTGCACCAGCCTACGACCTCCTCTCTGAGGACAAGGAGTCATCTTGCTCAACAGAAGCCAGCACCCTCACTCCGCGGACCTTCGACTGGATGAAGGTCAAGAGAAACCCACCTAAGACAGGTAGGGCTCAGAGTGGTCCTTTCCTCGCCTTGGCCCAGACATGCACAGAGGTTCCTGGGCCGGGGCTTGGTTCATCCCTTCAGCTGTTTTGGTATTGGCAGGTAAGTACTTACAGGTCTCAGCTCAGCTGAGACTTCCCTATCGGGTAAGTTTGGGGTCACCTCCTTAAGGAGGTTTCCGCGATCTACTTCCTTGTCTGTGAGCCCAGTTTGGAGCCAGTACCTCATATTTCTGTCTGACGGTGAGTATGGATGGAAGATGGGTTCTAGATTTGGAAATTGCTAATAGAGGGTGTGTGTGATGCTGTATAGAGACTTAAATTGGGTAGAATGATGAATGAGGACACAGAGTGTACTGGGAGGGGTGGAGGGGAGGGAGAAAGAGGTGAGAGAATTGACGTGGTTTTTCTCTCTGCCCCGCCCCTAGCGAAGGTGTCTGAGATGGGACTGGGCGCTGCCGGCGGCCTCCGCACAAACTTCACCACGCGCCAGCTGACCGAACTGGAGAAGGAATTTCATTTCAACAAATACTTGAGCCGTGCGCGGAGGGTGGAGATCGCCGCCACTCTGGAGCTCAACGAAACGCAGGTGAAGATATGGTTCCAGAACAGGCGCATGAAGCAGAAGAAGCGAGAGCGGGAGGGAGGCAGGGTGCCGACAGCCCCTTCAGGCTGCCCCAAGGATGGGGCTGGAGATGCCTCCGACCAGTCCACGTGCACCTCCCCCGAAGCTTCGCCCAGCTCCATCACCTCTTGAATTGAACTATCTGGCTTCCAGTGCTGGACCCAGTCCCCTCTTAGACTCTCCCAAACTTCACAGCCCTGATGATCCTCCTCAAGACCGAGGAGCCAGTTTAGAGCTGCCTAGGAAACTGGGTAGAAGTGGGGAAACATTTTTTTCTCAGATCTGGGGGTGGAGGGATGACTGATAGCTGGGGATCCTACAGGTCTTGGGATCTGGGGAGTACCCAACCATCAAAGGTGGAGGGAAGGCCTTTTGCCTTTGATCTAGAGATTGGCTCTGTGAGGGGTAGGAGCCAGCCCGCCCTCCTGGATTCTCCTTCCCCTTCCAACTGGAGTTCAGTGCCTTTGAGCTTGGAGAATTCTCTTTGAGCACTCTTACCCTAACTCTCCCTTCTAGGCCTGGGATGGAGAGAAGCCTAGGGATTTTCCTGAAAAGGATGGGTTTGAGCGCCGGAGCATTACCAGCAATCGTTAATCTTAATCTTTAATCCAGCCAAATCACCTGAGACCTTACAATAGCACCGACTGCCTTGTGACATGCCCCCTCCCCCCTAGAAAAAAAACCCCAACAAAACCATCCCAAGCAATCCCACAAAGCCCTTTCCAGCAGGCTTCTATTGCACTAATGCAGCCTTCAGGGCTGTTCTATAAGGCCCGCCCCTTCCCACTGGCAACCCCATCGTTAAATCACCAAAGTGTTTTAGAACTTGGCACTACAGGATTTCTGGTCGCATAGACTGCCTCAAGCAATCCCCAACCAAGAAAGGGTGGGCACTCCCCCTCCACTCCCCCTATTTATTGCCTCTGGAACACCCCCTCCCTCTATTACCTTTTCCATAAGCCTCCCTACTCCTGTGGCAGTCTGGGCAGGTCCAGGAATGGCGACTGAGTTCCCAGCAGATTTAAGCATTTCTCTGAACCTTGGAGACGGCGGTGAGGCCATTGGAGTTTCTGGAAAAACTAAGCCCCAAGCAAGTCAGGTTATCTTTGTATCAGCAGCTACCTCATTTCAATAAAGTCTGTTTCTCCCTTCCTTTCTGCTTCTGCTTCTCCATCTCGGACTGAATGAGGCTGTGAACTCTACCAGTCCATTGACTGGTTGGGTAAGAAAAAGTTGAGATCATGAGAACCGACAGGGCCCCAACCAAGGCAGAAGTGGGCCCCCAAAACCTAGTGGTCCACTGGTCTTTTGGGAGAAGCACACGGTGGTGGTAGAGTCAGACAGTTCTGAGATGGTCTTGAGAAATTGGCGGGGAAGGAGGAAAACTGACTTGTTTAAGATGTTTGAAAGATGGTGTAAGGAGATTGTAGAGTGGGGGTGGGGATGGGAATGACAGAGGGGACTTTACCCCCCCCCCCCCCCATACTTCTTGCTCTCACCTCCACCAGGGTTTGAACTGGCCCCTGGAAACTGTAAAGAGGACAGGTTTGAGGCTATGGGATGTCAGGCAGACATTCTTGCTCCCACAGTGGGAAGATGGGGCATTGGTAAAGTCCTCCCCAGCACACACATTAAGCCCCAACTCCAGCTTTTCACACAGGAATATCAGATTGAGTCAGCTATCATTGACTAGTCTGCCATTTGCCTAAGGCTCAAGGTACTGAACCACAGGAAGGAGGTGTCCTTGGAAGGGATACGTGAGGGATGGGGGTAAGGAGGTGCCCAAGGGTGGATGGGGGAGGTGCTGGCGATTGGGTGGACAGTGGGGCTTGGGGGTGGACCGAGGCAGCGGAGGTGCACCAGGACCCTGAGCTGACCTTTTTACCTCTGAGCGCCTTTGAGCTTTCCAAACAAGCCTGCGGTGCGCCCAGGGGGACAACTATTGTCTCCCAGCCAGTACCACAGGCAAACCTTTAGTAAGCGGAGGCAGGGGGCCCGCGACTCTGGAAGCTCTGCAGAGGTGTCAAACTGTAGTCGTTCTGGCTCCAGAGAGCCATCGGAATGACAGGGGGCTCCAGGCTTTGGGCCTAATCTATTGATTCTGGTGACCCAGAGATTCCCTAAGCTCCAGGGCCAGGACCATACTGCTTTCTGGGGTGCACTGATGATGAAGACAGGTCTTATCTGTCCCCCAATCTGTCTAATTTGTGACCTTTGAAAGGAAGACAGGCAGCGGAAAGGGCTGAATGCTTGTAAGCAATGCTAAGCGTTTGTTTCCTCGTGAAATTGGTGCCATTAGGCGAGAGGCAACGTTATCAATAATTGCACAGCTCAGCTGGCGAGAAAAGAGAAGATACAAGAGGAAGCCTGGCTTTCCCAGAGGTTGCTTTCTTGCCCTGTCTTAAAAGGAAAAAAAAAATCTATTAACTGCTTTTCTTCATTTAATTGAAATTGCCATCAAGCTTGGCTTCCCCAAAGGGGTCACCTTGACAAGAGAGGCCAGAGCAAGTGTCTTTGAAACAATTTTCCTCTTGTTTGAAGCCGTTTAATACCAACTGGTTAGAGCCTCTTGGTTGGGGTATTTATGGAGCCTCCAGCTGTTAGCCCCTATGGACAAGTGAGCAGGAAGAGGAGCGAGCAGTGGTTAGGGCAAGACTGGACTACAAGGATGGTAAAGCTAAAGGAGCCTCAGACTCGGGATGACAGGTCCTGGGGGAAGGATGATCGAAGGGCCTGGAGAAATGCTCGAGGCTGGAGCCTTTGATTTTTGCTCATAGCAGAAGGAACCAACAGATTCCTCCAGGGAAGGTGTGTGTGTGTGTGTGTGTGTGTGTGTGTGTGTGTGTGTGAGAGAGAGAGAGAGAGAGAGAGAGAGAGAGAGATCAATTCTTCATTAAAAAGAAACAGGCTCAAAATAATCCACAGTGAGTCAGAGTCTCCCATTTTCTTAGATACAAAGACCCAGACTCTGTAACACTCTCTTACTGGAATCCCACTTCCAACCCAAGGCCCTGGAATGAATGGGTCTACAGGAAAGTGTTTATTTTGGGAAACAAACAAACAAACATCATGGCACAGTCTCCTCTCACAAATGTCAAAAGAGAGTCTGGTAAGCAGAGAAACAAAAGTGCCTTTGCTCCAATTACTCAAATCAGTGGTTGGCATTTTCAATCCCCTGCCCCAATAGATGCCCAAATATTTCGCTCATAGACTCCTTCCCAGGCACTTTTCCCCCTGTGTGCATAAGTTGAAATCTTCTCCTCCCACATCTTCACTTTCTAGACCAAAACCAACCAACCAACCAACCAACCAAACAAACAAAAAACAAAGTCCAGATTTGCAAATGAATCCCTCTCTATATAATCTTGGTTTTCCATGGGCGGGAGAATTCTTAGGGCTGGTTGGAAGCTTGTTAGTATCTCTAAGCTACCTAGCCCTTCTGATCTCTCTACTAGGCTTGTGGCAGTGACCTGGGGTGCCGGTCACTCTACACCATCTGTTCTCAGCTCAAGTGCGAACTTTTCCCCCTCTTTATTCATCCGTTTCCTCAACATTTGCTCTCCCAATGTGAGGCCCTTTGATCTCTTGGGTAAAGAAGAGAGATTTTTAAAACCTTCAGCCTCTTTTCTTTGACTTGTAACCCCAGGATGCCTTTGCTATGGGCATTCCTTGCAACAGTACCCTTGGGTGGTTGGTCAGAGTCAGGGCAGAGAGAAGGACCACGGACTTGGGAAACTATTCAGGTTGTGGTGCTGAAATCTAAGCCCTCTTCTTGATTGTGGTGTGTTCTTGGGCAAGGGGCCAGTTTCATTGTCCACAGAGTGGGGACACGGTGAGGACTAGTCTCATAGGACTGATGTTGCAATTAAATTAGTTAACACCTGTAAAATGTTTCATAAATAAAAATGAGTTAGAACAACTGTTATCACTATGTAAAGAGATATGTTTGCTTCCCTTCCCATAGTCCCAGCCTATTGCAAGGAGTGTCTTGGTTAGGGACCACTCACATGTACTCTTATTTGATCCCTGGCAGGAGTATAGGGCTAAGGGCAGGTAGAAGAGGTTCCCTTATCAGCAGCTGATAACACTTTACATCATCTGTTTGAGCTTTCTCCTCCTTTCTCCCTTTTCCTTATTTTAGCCTGACTCCCTATCAAGGAAGTGAACTCTCTCAGCCTCTTCTCCTCCCCCACTTCTGCATTACAGGGAGATGGACAGAAAACCTTAGCAGCCCCTGGTATTGTTTTGAAGATGGGTGCTGTAAATTCTTGATTAGGTTGGCAGAGGGCAAGCATCCTGAACAACTTAGGTTTCCAGTTGTGGTCCCCATTCTGTTGGGTGGGTGAGCTCATCAAGCCAGTCTGTGTCCTTGGGGTTCCAGTCCTTCAGCCACAATATAGAAGATGTGGAAGCCATATACATAAATAAGTATATGTATGTATGTGTATGCTACTTCTCATATATGAGAACTACTCAGGATGCTGTCTGGTAGAGAGTTAAGTGTGCAGAGAGATTTCTTGCTTTATGTGGCCACAGAAATACATTCTCTATTACTCTCTTCCACTGAGTTAATTATGGCATAAAAGAAGCAGGCATCCTCTAGCCTTCATCCCTTATACTGCATCAGCACACCCATTTGGCATTCAAGCCACAGGACTTGCTGCCAGGGAATAAAAACAATTATGAACGGAAGGATACAGAGGAGCCCCATAGAGAACTGTTTTATAGTCAAGGCACCACCACAAGAAAGGATGCTCTTGGTAGGAAGGATGGCTTCATTGCACAACTCTAGACTGCTTTCCCATTGCGGTCCATGAGGCTGGGGCTCCCTGCTGTTGTGCCGGCTTTTCCCCGGGTGACTCGGTTCTGGCTCCAAGGAATTCTTTGCATTTCTTCCCTTACTTGGCTTAACTTACATCTCGGCTTCTTTGACTTTAGCCATTTCCCCGTCCCCCGAGATGTGATATCTGACCAATATGTCCTGGGTACAACAGGAATTGGCAATGTAGGATCTTTAATTCTTAGAAAACCAGAAAGGCTCAAGCAGCTACGAACTGGAGCTCGAAGGCTGACCTCGGACTTTCATTCACTGTCATTGCCATTGTCTCAGTTGGAAAAGGAATGGATCAGATCTTCTGAGAAGAAAGAATTTCAGAGGGGGGGGGTCAGGAGACCGGAGTTTGCTCCACTGGGAGCAACATTCGCGACCTTGGAGAAGTCCCCAAGTATCTCTAGCCCTACTCTCCTAGTATTTAATGTAAGTGGAAATATTCTTCTGCCCCCCCCCTCAACCCATAGATAGAGACAGATGTGAGAAAGAATGGAAACTTGAGGGTGGGGATGTAAGGAGAGGATAACTTGGGTAGGAGGCATGCTGGTGAACCTATCCTACTGGCTTAGCTAGAGCTAGTTAAGATCGCTTTCCGCAGTTCCTTCACGTTCTCAGAATCACAGCCTGTGTGTTGCAGGCCTGCAGCCTTTGCTTCCTGGAGGGGAGCTGAGGAGGGAGGCCGCCCAGCAAAGCATGCATGCGCCCTCTGCTCCTCAGAGGCCAGATGCCCCCTTCAGTTTACCCTGGCCTGACAGCTCCATTTCAACCCCCACCTTGGAGATGAGGCGGCTCAATATTTA